TCTATACTACATACATGTGTTACATATAATAAAAACTAGCTGTGTCCGATAGGTCGCCCGCATAAAACTTATAGCTTATGTGTTATTCTGATGAAAAATTATGTTACCATAATGTTTCATCAACATCCTGAACGCATTTTGAGTGAAACGTAGTTTTTGTGTGAAAGAGTCATTACCACATCCAATCATCAATCCATCTATCCATCCATACTCACAAGCTTTCGCGTTTATAATATTAATAATATTAGTAAGATGTAACTACCCCCTGTCTGTACATAGAAGATATATGAGAAACGATACTATTGTTGGAATTTTCATCTAATTCCAACAATAGTAATTACTAAAAAATTACGCCTAATGTCTATAAATTATCTTATTTCCAAACAATGAGTCATTAATAGTTTAATAAATATATTATAATGTTTCTCCTAAGATATATATTTGGGTTTTATATTTAAAACACCATTAAAAATACCGCGGTCTCTATTTGGAAATACAGTCTGAAGATTGATGTTTTTGTATGTAAATATATGGAAAACATGGAAAAATATTCGTTCGTTTAACGCGTGAAGAGCAAACAACATAAACTCAAGATAAACAGATTTAAATTCAGTTCTAAAACAGATTAAATGGTACGGCGATTCTCAGTAAGGAAGCCGCAACCCTTTGAGAGTATTTTAATGTGCAATCACTTCTATCTCTGTTAAATGGTGCATAACTAACCATTTCACTTGTAACATCTAGTTATTACAAGTGAAATGGTTAGTACCAACTATATTAAATATTTTTAGATAGTTGCACAATAACTCGTAGATTATAATTTAATTTTTTGCAATGATGTTATGTATTTTTTTAAAGTATAATGTTTGCGATTGCAAATATCATTATTATAACAAAATAAACATTGAAATATTCATAATAAAAAATACATATCTACACGTATATAAATATAATTTCACATAGGTACACTGATATGTGAACCATTTCAGTTTCACCTTACCGCACTAATCGGTAAACGCTAGTAGGTATCAAAACATCAAAACTTTCCTATACAGGATGATAAGATGATGAGGTAGAAGTCATGTCAGTTAGCTCATCGTTTCGAATAGACTATATTATAATAGAAATAATAACAAATTATGATATCTAGTCTGAAACTAAACTGGATGATACTGGAGATAATAAACAAGTGATAGACAAACTTTAACATATTATTTTAAAGACAAAGTACTTTTGTATAAAACATATAAATATTTATGTACAAGTAACAAATTATCAAAATAAAAAAGTAGTACTAACAAAGGTATGTCAAATATAATTTCAGAGAAAACGTACTGTTATTTAAGTCTTTATTTGTAACAAACACAATTTATCAGTTTCAAAAATTACTTTTCGCTACATTATTTCACTAATGAAATTGTCATACACTGTAGCATTTAGAGTAAGCATATAAAATATGTACATATATCTGTTTCGCCTAATAAAATTACGTTTACGAATAATAGAAAAATATTTGTTGAGCATATTAGAATGTAAAAGTGAGTTTGTTTGTTCACGGTTTAACCCTCTAGAAACCAAGAAACTTGATATCTTCGCAGTATTTGGTACGGAAAAGAAAATAGATAGCGTATGGCTACTTGTATCCTGGTAATTTACGGTTACTTGACTATGAAGTCGCAGAAATTACTTTACAAGAAAAGAATGAATCATAGCAGCAACAATTTATTTACAAGAATGACAAATTTAAATAGGTAGTTGACAACTTTGAAAATGAATTCTTATTCCGTATATACTATAATTAGGTAGTCTTATTTTCCTATAGCACGTTCTCATTGATTTGTATCCTCCGAACAAATACTCGAAATCATCGAAAATTCATCAGAAAGTTACCAAGGTTTCCAAAGAACGAAGTTGAGATCGAATGGATAAAATATGTACTTACATTTTTAGCAACGAAATGAATAGCCTATTGCTGTCATGGAACAAAAAGCGCTTTAATTATATCAGGCAGTGATACTCATCATATTTGATAACTCCGCCAGATGTAATGTAATGGTAATAACCCAGACAGGCCTGGGTATACCTACTCACATGTATAAACGATTATTATACTGGAAACGACTACTGAAATTGTTATGATCATACATAAAAACACCTTTGTTTAACGCTTCTTATAGTCATTAATTTTAGATTTTATTTAAGGTAAACTTTAAAGAATAAGAATATTGGTATATTATTATACACAGTTTTTCATGACAGAGTTAAAATTTAATTTACAATTTTTTATCTACAAGTCGACAAGATAATATATGTTATAAACGCAGATTATGCTTCAAAGTATTTTACTAAGGGCAGATTAATTAAATTTCATATATATGTATAGTATACACAATATTTTTATTATAATTCAATTTTGGTCCTTCAATCCTCGTCTCAGTTTCACATCTTAACGTTCGAACTTTGTAGGAATACAATAGATTATATTCTTTGGAAAATGCTAGTTATGGACCCAATAATGATTTCTGATAAACATTTTGTTTTACTACGCCATCTATTATTTTTTTTATATACTATTTCTAAATGCATCATGACAATTCAACACATACCTACCTAACTGTATTGTAGAACTCAAGCGGGGCAGAACATTACGCGGCTCAGCCCCAAACACCGCTTTACTGAATAGAAACGAACCCCTCAATTTATTTATTCTACCCAAAATGACAATAGAAGCGATACCAAGTGATGGCGCTAGATGGCATTGTAAACATTAGTATCTGTGCTTTTACAAAGCATAATAAAATTTACAAAATTTTTAATGCTTTTTAAATAATATCTAATGACAATGTCTAAAATCATTATGAGTACTACAAAGAGGTGCCATAAAGATCTCGTATAGGGAGGGACTCTTAGTAAAGGGAATTAGTAATTATAGTATTACTAAGTACTCAATACGCTGTCACACCTGGAAACTATTCGCTGATATCGTGCTAGCATATACCGCCAGCACAGGGGCAAACAATACCTACAATTAGGTATTATTTCAATAAGCAAAACGATCATAAATTTATTGACATCCAACTTTTTCTTTTGATTCTTGCTATAACAAGATGCAAACTAATTTCAGTTTCAAAATGGCAAAATAGACAGTTACAATTACTAGGAGTATAAACATAAAAACTTAAGGGCAATATGGTCAAAATATAAATCTTAATATTTTAACGTAAAAAAGTGCGATGGGATTAATAAAATAATAACCAAATAAATTGCCAAGTACTTCATTTCCTTGACCACATATTATATTTACACAATATATTTTAGAAAACACAATGTTCCATACAACAAATATTTTGATACAAACCCCTCAAAGACATCAAGTACAAACATTTATTCAAATAAATACAGTTTAATCTTAACAATTCACTGTGACTGTAGACGAATGATAAGGTAGAACAATCATTTTATAATATGTACATGTTTAATAATGAAAAAAGAAAAATATGAAAAAATATAGGAATATAATTTCTTAATTGGCAAATTATGTCATCTTATTAACATAATTTGTGTAAACAATAACAATCAGATATTTTGTCTAACAAAATTATATATTGATAAATTAAAATTTTAAATTTTCAAAAGAATCACAATTAAATGTAATATTGTTGGTCAATGTCATAACGCGTTACACATTAACTAAGAAATAATCAAATGAAATCGCTCACTAGAACTTAGATAACTTGTGTAACACTTTGAATATTTTTGTATATTGGTGTCTATAAAGTGAAGCCAAATGGTATTAGATACCTTTACTAATATATAAACTATTATATATTTTTATATTCTAAATGAAATTCCATTTCTGGTGTTATTTTTTTGTTTCTTTGTAATTAGATATAAGTATGAGTAAAAACTTTAATTATGTGATAATAACTTGAAAAAGTAGCAAAAGTGATTTCGTAAAAAAAGTATACATCTATTTTATTTATATCTTATAATTAAAATAACAATGTATAAAAAAGTAAAAAAAAAATGCAGTACGATTCAAGTCCATGACTATATTACTGATGCATAATCTTTTTTGTGGAAGACCATAGGGAGACACAATTTACAATCATTACTATTAAATAAATAATAGATTTAAATTAAGCTTTATGATTAGAAAATGACCAAATTTTTATGTATAAACATATATAAACCTATTTAAATCTTGAACTATTAATTATTTATATCAAAAATTTATACTGTGAATAAAATAATTTCCTTGTGACAAATGAATTACATCTACGTATTGATTTTACTTTAGTAATTAATTAAAAATGTTTTGTATATTAAGATAATAACAATATTTAAAAATAAATATAATATTTCTCATACAGTAATGATATCTCTATTCAATTTAAATGTTTTTGTACACGCAGTCAAACTGTAATACATTTCTATTTAAACAAATAGTGGCAAACAAGTGCATAATTAAAGGATATAAAAGAACAAGACAACAATGAAATATTCATACAGAATCACGCTTTATGTTATCACTCCACAATGTACAACAGCTATTGTGGTTGGGTTTTTATTAGGAATGAATTCAATGGCATGGCTTGTTTGAAAAACAATTGAAAATTGCCCGCAATTCGTTTATATGCACGTAATCGATATAACATGGCAGGCAGATGCTAATTAAATAAGAAGTCGTTTTGGCGCTCAGATGCCACAGAAGTATGAAAGTTGGTTTGAAATTACAGTTATTGTATGTAACTGTGTCAAAATATCGGGATCTAAAATAAATTACTGTAAATATTCCATTCTCATCGCTTTTTGTTATCCTCTTCTTTAACAACATTTCGTAGTTAATATAATGACATAATAAATTTAAATAAAAAAAACGATACTACTTTTTCTCCATTTATTTTATATTTACATCGCTCAATAAAATATGCAGCAATTATTACGCATTCACTCCTAGTACTATTTTTAATTTAAATAGTCATATGTATCATTTTTTTAGTTGAGTCATTACAGCAGGAAAGAAAAGAGTAATATAATAAATATTTCTACTACGCACACAAAAGAAAGCTATGTTAATGCACGTTACATAGCGATGCTATTGAATTCATTTTCTCATTATAATATACAACATTACAAAAATACTTTCACGTTAGACAATTTTGTATAACATCGAAAATACATTTAGATAGACTGTCCATTATTTGGATATTGATCGTAAAAAAGTACGCACAGTATATACACTAAATGGTAAGACGTAACAAGGTAACGGTTAGAATAGAGGATTATGTTAGATACAGGCACATTCATAGTTGGGATCCTATGTATAAAGTAGATGTTTTTTATTTATAAGTTATATTACATTGCTGTAAACTTTCATTCGCATCTGCTCTCCGAAAGTTTAAGCAATATGAACAATTTTTATAAGCTGGAACACTTCACAAAATATTAACTTTCATACAAGTGTCATGAATAGGTCCAACTTTTACGAACATATATATATATATTCTTAATTAATGTATATTCTCGTTTATGCACGTAACAAATATATGAATTATTTATACATACATCATGCTTCACACATTGTATATTATTATCATTACTTTTACAACGACATTCATGCCGAAAAACATCAAACAGGGGACCAGCCCCTGAATTCATAAGAATCCAAAGAAGTTTTTGAAGCGTCATGTTTCAAGTACATTTTCTCTCTGACAAACCTCAATACTGTTCATTGCTATCTAAACTATACTAGCATTTTCTAGAAAACGGAGAAAAGCGCGATTGACCTCGAGTACTCCATCGCATTACTGCGATCGCGCTTAGAGGAGGTACTCTCATTGGTCCGGCCGGTCGAAGGAGGTATTCGGTGTACTCTCCACTTTTTTTAATACGATCTTAAATGCAAATGTATGTTTAGGAGAGACAGAAGCTGGTCTAGGAGTTTGTGGGGACCGTGGTGGAGGATCGGGTGGCATTTCCGAACGAGTTCTAGATCGACGAGGTGGGTTACCTCTTATTATAGGTGCTGATTGTGGCTCTCTCGGTTGTGGTGAGAGTCGGTTCGGTGATAAGCGACTTGGTGATACCTCTGGAGTGGTAGGTGGTAACATTAATGGGGGTAGATTAGCGCACGGAGATCCACGGGAGCCTCGACGTTCTTTTAATCCCATTGGTGGAGGAGGAGATGCCGGTGGTTCATCTTCAGCGGCCGCAACGACGACTACTGGTTCAGTCCTCGCCAATGGCGCCTTCGGCTCACCCGCATCCGATGCCACTGATCTTCTGAAGTAATTCAAACCATTCTCTATTTCAGCTAATGCACGTCTCACGAATGGGAAACTTTCGGAGATTTCCGAAGTAGATTTACGGACAGGGAATTCGGTTTCGCTATCACGTTTTCTGGGTCTGCAACGTTCAAAAGTCGGGTCTCCCGATGCAGCTACTGTTTCAGAAATTTGTCTAGTAAGGGCTGCATGTTTTATACTATCAGACTTTGATCGCGGTTCTCTAATTTTTGGTGTTGGAGAGCGACGGTCACCAAACTTTTTACTGGCAGCTCGTTTAATAGACGAGAAGAGCCCGAGTTTCTCTGGCTGCTTGTCAGGTTTATCTACTGGTTTATCTGGAGCGGAAAGAGGAGCGACAGGGGCGGTGGAGGGGCCGGGGACGGGTTCGGATATAGGATAGGGGAAGTTCCCCTCGCGTTAGTTGTGTCGAGAGTCCGAAGACGGAACATCGCTCGAGCCGGTGGAGGAGAGGGTTGTGTTGGACCCATAGGGGTCGAGTGAAGATTGCACGGACATAGAACGGCCAGCGCGGCGTACTCGTGCCGGGGACAGCTTTCCTGGATCTATGCTGGCCGGGTCTGCCTGCAACAACAGCGTTTTCAGCACTCTACTCAATGCTCTACACCAAAGCACCAATAATGATACATACATGCAAATAAATAATAAAAATCTTTGAATAAATATGATATACGTATATAAATAGTCTATGGTACATCAATACAGAACTGACAGAAAAAATAGAAAATTAAGTCTCTAAAAAATGAAGACTAATAATGAAATAACAAAATAATTTCTGGTAGTAGTATTATAAATGAAAATTAATTATATAAAACAAATATATACGTAAATTTGTAATCATTATATTATACATGTTTACAAATTTACTTTTCCTTTTGAATAGTACTGATTATCCACGTGGACAATACGTTTTAATTGTAAGCCAATACTTTCATATTATTTGGTACAATATAATAATAAAATAGAAATATATAAGAATACATATTCCATGTTAATAATTAGGAATAATATATCAATAATATTTATAACCAAAATAAATCATTTTCGATATATAAAACAACTACATCATCGTAAACATTCTTCTATCACATAAAACACTTTTACACAACCGTATAAACCATCAATTTTTAAATAAAATATATTTGTATTTTTTTTTGTATCTGCAGTTCTGCACCTGTATATCAGGAAAATTTGAGCAACTGATATCATTAGGTATAATATTGCGATGAAATGTCATATATTAATAACAAAGTCTACTACAAATATGCTGACTAACTAGGAACAGATTTAGATAAGTATAAAATCTAATGCTATTTGCTAAACTATCTACTTAAAAAATTGCAACGATGCTATGAAAAGATCATAGCATCGTTGCAATTTTTTAAGTAGATAGTTTATTTCCATGTCTTGGCTTTATTAATAAAACATCGTCGCATAATGGTTTTATTATGCCGTACTAAGAAAGTTTGTGAGTTGGAAAATCCTGCCAATACCACAACAAAATGATATCTAAATCTGAATGTTATCCCGGATAAGTTATACCAAAGTGGTCAGGGAACTAATATGAGATAACATCGTGGCAGTACAGTCCTGTAAGATTTTATAAGCTTAACCATATTCATCATACACCATTGGAGATTTTTTGATTAGATCTCGTTTAAAAGTTAGCCAGCTGTCAGCTTTTAGTGTACTTTTGATGGAATTTACGACTTTTAACACCAATACTTTGACGACATCGCACCTGATACGCTAGGGCGTTCATAATAATGGAGTATGGCACCAAGCCCAGCGGGTGGACCTCCCTCATTAGTACATTGGCAGGGATCTTGTGGAACTGAATGTACTCCAAAAAGTTACCGATGACATCTTTAAGTGACATGTTGGGGTTGGTGTCGCAGTACTTTTTGCTCCACATCAGTGCCGCCTAGAATTTGATAAAAAAAACAATTAATTTTAAACGACCGAATAGTTGACTATTATATGTATATATACATATATATGTGTACCATGCATGTAAATAAGTTTTGATCTATAGGATATTATCTAATTAAAATATGAAATAATAGATAATGGGTAGTGATATTTGTCATTATTAAGTAAGTTAGCTGCGGCCGCATACATACATACATTATTTATATTATTTATACATATATTAGTAGACACCATCAACCAATAATTAAAAGACCACGATCTATCAATATACTATGCTATATATTTTTTGATTGAAAATACTTCTTTCAACTGTTTAGTATGGATATTTTAGTCCCATAGTGCAGTATGTACTGCATAATATTTAATAAATAATAATCAGTAAAAATTTCACCAAGTTCCTCTTGGTATACCTTAACACACAAACAGCAAAACAGGCATTGTTCTTCTGCTTAAAATTTTTTGGATTCCATTATATCTAAAGATAACATTATTATTTACCTGGAACTTTGTAAACTCGTCAGCTCTAAGCTCATCTCTTGCTAGAATTAGTCTCACGACGTGTTGTGGTAACAAAGTGAATGATCCTAAGTTCAACACCTCATTGCCATGTTCGTCAACAAACTCTAACACCTGTATTTAACAAAGCGTTTTACATTTTCTTAAATAAAGATGCATATAAATATGTAATATTGTAAACGTATATATTTATAAACAACTCGTTTTAATGATTCGTCTTATTATAGCGTGAAAGTTAATTTATAGAAATATACTGTAAAACTAAAAACAAAAGCTAGCTGAGAACAAGATGAGAGTATTTAGATATTCATAATTACATAATTATGAAAGATCTTTTTCCCTTCTATCTCCGTAGGGATAGTTGAATATAAATATATAATATTGCAGCCGGTACTTGAACGACTTAAATATAAAGTCTATGTGAACATATTATGTCTTAAATAATGATTACTTTTGAATGTTGATGTTGCATTTTAACCAACAGATATTTATATTTAAACTCGTACATAATTTACAAATTGGTTATAAAACCATCTACAGTATTCAAACTTGCGGTTATAATAACAAAACGGAAATAACTAATGGATTACAAATAAATCTAATCAAAAATGAGTCATTCATGTGAGAAATTTTCACCGCATATAAAAGTCAATAATATATTGATATTTTTTCCCTACCGTCCAGTTGAGTACACAGATTCAATTGAAGAGAACTGGCAAGAAACTCAATAAAATTTCTTTTTTTTTGTAGCCAGTTTATTTAGATAGATAGATTTATTGCCAACATAACACAATTAACAATATTTACATTGTGCACTTATATTATCGTTTAGCGAAAACGTAAGTTATGCATTTCTTGGGAAACGTTATTAAGAAAGAAACAAGCTAATTTATTAATAAATTATTAACTAACCTTCTGTACTAGGGACTTTGTGCACTTGTATTGAATGTATCGCTCAGCGGATGCTAGAAGTGCGCAAACGGTATCAACAGTGATACAACATTGTACAAAGCCGGCGCATGCGCGGCGGAGTTCATCGAGGCCATAGTAGTCTGCTGCGTTCATCACACCTGTAATTAATTTACATTTTTTTAAATATTACAGTCATAACAAATAATTAAAGTTCAAAAATAAATAATGGTATATTAAGGTTTCTTAAGGGGCCGACCCTTTTAAATTTTTTTGCACGTGACACCCCTGGTGTCTCTGGCGTCTATAGAGCACGGTAACCATTTGCCATCAGATGGGCCGTATGCTTGTTTGCCACTATCGTAATATAAAAAAGTAAATATCAAATGGTAAATATATTATTGAACATAGGTATATAACATGGATATATCAATTAAATCTCTTATTTAAATATATCATACGAAACGAAAAATTGTAAAATAGTTCAAAAGGCTAAACAACTCCTAGTATTACAACGGTGTTATTTTTGTACATGCTTTAATTTTTAAATGAATCTGGAAAATTTCAAATACATAAAAATATATCCCTGTTAATAAATAACCAATTAAATGAGCTGTATATGTAATTATGATTTATATATTTAAAATTTAATTTATGTACAACGATTCTACTTGAGAAATCAACGGAAAGTCGCGAGATAGTACATTAATTTAATGAATCTATATATAATTACAAGATTGATGGTGTTTCGTTATCCTATTAGGAGAAATTTCGTTAATGTGAGTGGTGAGTCAAGCAACTGTGTGAATTTCATTTATAGTAATTTCATTTATAAATTGGATGTTCTTAGAAACAGCACATGTTGAGATGTTAATTAAGATGCTAATCTAAGTAACGTATACACGACTCGAACTCTGATCACAAAAATATAATCATGTTTCTTAGAAGAAGAGTAAAAATATAAACCGAAAACGAATTTCAATATTTATTACAGTCACGAAAAGGTAGCTTTTGCCTTAATTCGGCCTGAACAAATAATTTTTAATTTATGCATTAACGAAGCACTAAAATTAAAATCGAATATTAGAGGTGATGAGATTATTAGTATAGAACCATTAACAATGTAAGCGGGTAATAGTCGATTTCCAATGTCGTATTATAATTCCACCTAGACTCGCAGCTCATGCTGCGACCTATATAGGCATATATATATATATATATATATATATATATAGGTCATCCTATGGCCATCCATATACGTTAGTGCAGATAGATGTATCATTTTATATTTTACTATTAAAAAATATCACACCCAATATTTTAACTTAATATTATAGCAACGTAAATAATTTATCAGTTTCACAAACAAAAAAATCAAGAAGAAACACGTCGTAAAACTCTGTACAAATTGTCAAAATGAGCATCATAAACGTGTTTTTTTTATAATTAATAAATATTCCGATTACATTTTTCTTCTTTAGAATATAAAAAATAAAACTTTCCAATAGAAAATCTCTTTATTATAAAGTTTTGGTGCCGAGTTTATTGAGTGTTTGAAACTTATAAAACAGAAATAATTTCGTCTATAAAGTTATGGGATATAAAAATGCGAAAACAATTTCTCGTTAACGAGTTATTTGAAAAATTATGTATATAAATGTAATATATTATAGACTGGTTTTACACATTTATATATTTTATTATTTTATATTAATTTATTTCAAAAATATAACAACATGTTAGACTACTTTTAGGTAGTTAGTTGGTAGTTTACGAGTAGGTTAGTAAGTTGTGAGGTGATATTCCTAAAACGTAATTTTTATGTCATATTAATTACGTTTTAGGATGTACATTTCAAAGTAAAATTTTCTCATTGTGTTACTTTGTTTCTTGGTTTAAAGCATTTAATTTTCACGAACAGTCTATCAAGCTTTGAACTTATTATTCACTTAATTTGTATTTGTCGTGATTTAAAGTGTTGAAATTTTATTAATGATTTGTTTAGATTTCAACTTACTTTGTATATATCACAGCATACAACAGTAGTGTATAAAGCATAGAGGTCAATGACATTATGTTCTTTTTATCTATATGATAAAAGTTAAAAACTTGTCTGGATATTTAAAAGTTCAATGTTCCAGACTACATAAGGAGATTAAAGGCTTTATTTAATATAGATATTAAATGTCATAGTGTATACAGTCCTGGCTTAGTATTAAAGTAATCTAGTTGAGTGTTTTGCTTTCATCGATTTATGGTAATAAATTGAATATTACGAAATGGGACTCATACAATAATTTCCAGTACAGTTTTTACACGTGGCATTTAAAATACTGTATGTAATTACAATAAATATTTAATAAAGTAAATAAGGTATACATAGGTATTTGACTTAAGTTTATTTTATTTTTAATTACTTAAGTACATTGTATACACATTTTATCCTAAAGTATATTGTACATGGAATTTCATTATCATTAACTTCCCTGTTTTATACGCTGTATATTAAATAATATTAATTATGACATTTGTTAAATTATCAATAATCAAGATGAGAATAGTCAATCTATTATACTAACTTCTAACAGTTTAAAAGTTCAGACCTTAATTAAATAATTATGAACGTTGGCAAAACCTAATATAGAATTCAATTGCGAACTCGGCACAATAAATAATGATGTCAATATTTACTCTGTAGAATAATAATACATACATTATTAGTCAAACATGTTGAACAAAGATTTCCATATTTGTTCTATGAAACCATGAGCGTTTGTTCAAATTGAATACCGCTCTTGTAAGAATATATTACGTAGGACCCTATATTAATTAAATAACGGATATCATAATTGCTAGGATTGTTAAATTAAATCGCTTTTGTCAACCGATTTCAAAGAGAAATAGACTCTTAATAGATTATATTTCATTATATGTATATGTTATGCAATTTGACATTTATTCCTACGTAAAAAGGGGTTATGTTGTATTGATTTCATAGCTATTAATGATAATATATGTTTTACTCTGCAACAATTTGTACAAATATGCTTAACAAAAGTCGGCCCTAATTTATTATTAATCAATTTTAATTCAGTCAAGAATAATATTAATTTTTATTGTGTTATGAACTCACTAATTCCTATTACAAGATATTTTTGCAGTTACTTTTTATTTGTAAATATATTCATGATAAAATATAAAAATACCTATAATAAATAAAATAGACCTATTCACGACTGATATGGCGATTAATTATATATATTGGCAGGGATTTAACCCACGTACATCTAAGGTAAAATGGGATGAAAAACCGCTAGACAAACAATCAATTCATTATGTAACTCCTTTGGTGCCATAATTGCATCGCCATTCTGGGGGAATAATATGCCACGTCTTCATACCTTATAAATTCACTGCCTTATCTCACCATTCACCCTAAACACTGCAAGCTAGTTATCCTAAATATATGACAGAGACAATTTTCGAGTCGACCTCGTAAGAATCTCGGTTACTTCTATACTATAATTTATATTCTAAATGTATTGCTACAGGAACTCTTTCTTACTTCTTTTTACTAGAATATTAGTAGCACATTTGGGTTTTTAAAATTCGTAATAACTTTTATGAACGCCCACCCTACTTCGAAAATAAAATCAAGAGATTAAATTTCAGATTCTTCTTTTTTATTTTCCTTCCAGATGAGCGATCGAATTACGTTTCAAATATGATAAAAAATTACCTAGATTAATAAAATTCGATATTCACTTCTGCTTGATCTCTAGATAAATTTATATTATTTTGTAGAATAAAATATTCGAGAGCATTGTGGCCTAGTGGCGTGTCACCCCGCCTTATATACAATAGGTATAGGGTTGGCAACCATAATAATATATTATATTTTTTATTTACCATATTATACATAGCAACTCTTTCAGTCTTCGGACCGCCATCGTAAAGTGAATATTGTTGTAGTTGTATAATTTAGAAAATGTAATTTAGTTCTTAGCTCAACTTAACGATGAGCCCTTTATAAATAAATTATATTTTACATACCTTCTTACGCACCTTCCACGAAGCCTACATTAAAGAACCCCAAGCAAGTAGTGCATTCACATTGTCAAGATATGGTATCATTAAGATTGAAATGGTGATGACAACTTCGTTTTATATAAAAATAACAACTGAAGTCGTCAGTAATAGCTAGATTAGTAAATATTTATCACTTACCCAATAATGTTCTTGGCTGAAGTGTAACACAACCAGTATGGATGTACTCGATTAGTTGACGGAAAACGTCCGGTTCAAACTCTTCTATGATAAGAGTTTGATGTTGTTGCGAAGATGGCTGTCATAGAAATTGATTTTTGATTAAAACTTTTATGATAATCAAAGCATAAAGTTCTTTGAAAGTTGCGTGTTGTTAGTAATTTATGATTCTGTAGCCAAAAACAGGATATACGAAAGTTTAGATGAAAACCAAGTTTATTTTAATATTTAAAAGATAATTTCTGGTAACTTTATAAAAATGCTACGTGAATGAAAATAGCGAGCTCAACCAGAAATATATTGAGTTTTAAGTGGACAATTATTACCCATTTTGTATTGAAGACGTATACTTACTCAAATTTATTAATATATTTCTGTAAGCCTTCAAAAAGCATAAAGAAAATAAGCTTCAATTAATAACGCAATAAAACACGATAAAAGACAAAATGCCAATCATTGAAAAATTATATACTGTTGGTCTCACAATTTTTTAATCGTGTAATTAGAAAGAAAAGGAGTATGTTGTTGAAAAAATTTATATAAACATAAATGCAGTTGACGAACATTTATTGCAAACATGCATAATGGTGCTAGTAAGAACTGCATCTTGAGCTAATAATAGTCGAATATTGTGTAATGCCAGTGATATAGATGATACAACAACGATACATATCAATAATATAAAACTGCTCTCAAGATATATAAAAAAGAACCCAAACGTATACAAAGTAATCATGCAATATCTTAGTGATGGAACTCGCCTAAGACAAAAATTCGATCCAAAAAAGTAAGTTTTGATACTCGTAGCCGAATCAAATCAGTCCTATCTACAAAAGTGTATTAAAAAAGTGAAAAATTTACAATATGAACACCGAATATTGAAAACCGATGAAATGAATGTTCCCTAAAACACCGTTAATTTTGTTTTTACCTCTTGTATCGGTGCCAATTGCTGCGCGAAAGTCGATCTCTGCATTGAACACAGTAAAAATAATTTACTTTACATTTCACGTGTTTTAGAGAAATGTTTGTCTTGGTCATTATCAATATTGTATATTTTTACGCAAATGTTTTTGGGAGCTCAAGAACCCCTCGGTCTGGCATTTAGATTTACATTTTATCTATAAACATTTACGGCAGTACCAACAATTCGAGATTTATCTGGAAGAAACAAACGTTTGCTGACTCCTAAAGTAGTATTGGAGAACTCTTAAGAAAGAGGAATAAAGCAATAAAGTTGGTTGAATTCCCCAGTCGATATTGGAATGTTTTTAGACGGCAATCATGCTCTCTATATAACTTTAATCAAAGAAATTGAGAGTGAAACTCTTATATTGGTTTGAGGAAAATTATTTCCTTTGTGATTATTAGTAATATATAATTTACATAATCTTTCTACATCATGCTTATTAATATTTTATTTGCTAAATATATGTATATTGTTAAATATAAGGAGAACCAGGAACATATCTTGTAATATTCTGAAAAATATGGAAACAAATAAAGACATTGTTTTATTATTATATAGTATTACAGCTAAATATAATTGTATTACAATGATGGATGGATACATAGTTTCAAATGTATGACTATTTAGGTTATAAATTAATCTTGTTTTAATTTAGGATGGATGAACACGTAACATTCCCGTACATACTTGCGCATTTTCGTAATTATTTCTAGAGAGTACATGTATTTACCTGTTGTGCGGCATTTTGAAGATTGAGTAAGGGCTCGGATGAACGTTTCAGGAATAGCCGCAACTTGTTTTCACGTGGAGCAGGTTCCTTTTTTCTTTGGGGGCTTGGTGCTTGATAAAGCATTTTTTGGAACACTCTGTTGACAAAAATATGGAAGAGTTTTTAATATAAATTTAAAACATGAATTCAAATTCTATATTCATAGTAAGATGTACAAATCTAAGTACTGATAACAACGTTAGCCAACAAAAAAATTGTAGGTATAGAATTATATAGAAACTTCTATACTACTATTATGAATATAAAATTATATATATCCGTTTATTTATTACCTTATATGACTGGATAGTGAAAAAGTCTTAATATTTGAAGTATTTTTTTAGCACTAGAACGGAATGTCTGTCATTTGTTGTACATCACAGTATTATATAACTTTAGCTTTGATTTTGATATCTTTTAATCGATTTCTAATCTTTTTTATTTGCAATAATTTTGTTCTAAGCATCCATACTTATACATCAGTTAATACTATGGCTACTAAAGTGTTTATAATATTAATATGGGATACAAAGGGATATATGACATCAGTAATGCTAGGAATTTCTTATACATTGTTCATAAGAGTGAATTCCTGCCATCGCACTGACCGCAACCATTTACAGTTTTGCGAAACATCAAATTATTTGCATTTTAGTCGAGTTTGTAATATTATATGGCCATAATAATACAGCAAGGGACGGAACGTATGTACATAACTTTTTACGCAAAAATTACTTGATTAAAATAAAAATTGTTTTCTGATAAAGTCTAAGTCCCAAAAGTTCGTGAGTACAAATCTAAATAACACAATAGAATTTTGTGTATCACTTTAATTTCTAAGTCCGATGAATAATAAATATAAACCCAATTAATCAGAAAGACAATTGGCCTTATGTGGAATATCAGTCGGAAGATCGATCTTATTGATAGAAACATTCAGTAGATTATAGCATATAGCAGTATAATTAAATCTTGTTTTTATTACGGTTGCACGTTACATATAACTACATATATAGTAGCAAATTGAATTTCTTCTCGCTTCAATCGTAGTTGCACGTTACATATATCTGTTAGTAACAGCAATACTTATTTTAAATGTGATGGATTAGAATTTATCTTCTAAAATCAATGTGCCTAATATTTTGGATATTTTTTTGCTATTATTGTTTACTCTTCTGTGTTTTATATTATGTATATTATTTAAATGTAGAGTGTCGTAAATGTAATGGATTAAGGGACCGCATTAGGCACATTGATTTTAGAAGGAAAAGTCTAATCCATCACATTTAAAATAAGTATTCTTGTTGCTAAGTAACAGGTATATGTAACGTGCAACTGTGATGGAAGCGAGAATAAATTATATTTACTGCTATATATATTCACTGAATATCTCCATCACTTATTATCATCATCATATATAAATTAGGTAATCACAGGAAAATAGTAGGTATAGCTTATTATATTTTACTAAGAATAGGTAAGAAGTTACATTTTCTACAAAGTCACATGCATAGGTCTCTGTCTGTCTCATCTATTTCGGCTGCTAAACAGTTTGCATTGTTTCAGTTGCAGGATGAGACAGGGCAGTGAAATTACAGAGTAAGCAGGTATTAAAACATAATCTTCCGAAATGGCAACGCTTAAGTAACCCATTGACGTCATATGATATCATGAAGATCGTATTGCTGTTCATGTATATAGGCAATAGTTACAATCAGGTTGGTCATAAGATTCCTTGCTAAAATCACAAAAACATTAAAAAAATATATGTACTCAAGTTAATATTTTTATAAGTATATATATTTTACTGGACTGTAGTAAAGAAAGAAATTAAACAACTCACTCGAGTACAAATAAAAAGTTATGGTAAAACAAACGTAGAAACTTCCTCAACTAGGTCGTGATACAAATAAAAATCAAAGTATCAAAGAAAAATCTTACAACGCAAATAAGAGCAACCCTTGAGATTATATTATTTTTTTAATTTAACTTGCAACGTCAATTAATCTACATAGTATAATATAAAACTCTGTTCCTATTGGGATTTGTTATTTATATTGTAAAGATAACAATTTATTTTTAATTTACGACAATATCTAATATAATAATGATAATATTACCTAGAAGAATTCCCATATCCCCATGTAGTACCAAAATAAGCAGAATCATCTGTAATAAGCAGTTTACTGATGATTATGAATGGGTACAATAGCCTATGTTAACGATATGCGCTGTCTGGGTACCAGACAAAGTAGCTAATTAACCAAAAATTAACCCTAGTCACAGTTTCTAGTAAGTATCAAAACTCTGCATTTGAGTTGCTGAGATAATACTTTTTTTGTAAGTACTAAACAATATATATACAGAACATGCAAAGAATCATAAAATAATATTCTTATAAATAAATATGTTTGTATCAGTGATAGTCGAACTTCCAACCATCGACCGTATGATAAACCGCTAGAACATCGGGACCGTTTTTTTCAAAAGTCATAAAGAATATTCTGGTAATTGTCTTTCATGAAAGTAAAAGGAATCACGACCTCAACAATATCGTTAAGAAACCCGTTTTAAGCACTGAATAGTCGATAGGGTTGCCAATAAATAAGGATTGTACTTTTCATAAGTATTTTGTAAATGTACAAAAAAAGAATTTAATGGTTTCTAATTTATAATGAGTTCCTACATAAGTAAGAGAGATCTATCCAATGTCGGTGAATCATTACCTGTACAATAAAGGTATATTACCCAACCCATACATACGGTTTGGTGATTTGTTTGTTTTTTGATTAAAATTTTTGGATTTTTACTCCAGGGAAGAAATTACAGTAACGACTAATATGACAATAAGTTTACCCAAAAGTATAGTTTAATATTCTAAAAATGAATACAAAACCAATATCGAAATAAAAAGCCTATCAGTTGAAAAAATCACAAAAATTCATTTGATAGTGACAAGGTTTTCAAGTAAAAAAAAATCTCGCCATTATAAAAAAAGGACTTTTTAGTAACTTTGCATCTAGATTTCTTTATTTTAATGATTTTTAATGTGTAATATATATATTATGTTTTTTTCAAATTCCAAATTCATACTAATGGATTTACTAGTTAGTTGACAACTTAATTGGTTTTAAACAGTGGTATCTATCATAACGCTTTTATAAAAATATCTAAATAATAGGGTAAACACTACAGTGATTGCCCAGTATATAGATATTGCCCACAGTAAGAAGATGATACATTTAAACCTATTTATAAAGGAGTTAATTCGAATTGAATTCGCTGGATGGTATTAAGAGATCCTCTAGTAGAACGTTTAATAATAAATTGGCAACATTTAAAGAAAAACATGGTGTTATGGCATATTTGTTGACAACAGGTATGCCTCTTATCGGAAAAAGTAGGTTTCTTAAAGAATTTCTTAAGGATACACTTTTTGTTTTAATTTCTTGTATTAACTTAGCTCCGTTTTAAACTTATTGCTATAGAGAATAAGTTAGTAAATGCTTTATAGTGTAATTTCAAGAAGTTATTGTGATGTAAAATTTACCACTTAAGGAGTTAGATGGGGTGGGCAATTACTAAATCTTATTTAGATGAATTTTAGTGATTGCCATATCGGTATTTAGTTATTGCCATTGGCATTGGGTACAGCTATTGCCCGGGCAATTTCTATTAAAGTAAGTTTATTTTTGTTAAATACATTTACGTAGCAGTATTATCTAGTTCTTTATAGAATGCCGAAGGTTACCAAGTTAAAATACAAACGGGAAGACCTAAAGAAGGCAATCACCGAAATCCAAAATAACAAAGACAGGTTTTCAGATCGACAAATTCCATATTTTAACATAATTCAGGACACAAAATCAGCTTGGGTTCAGTGCCAATTTTAACTGCTAAAGAAGAAGCTATTCTTGACGACAGCATAACAACTTCAGCACGAAAAGGTTTTCCAAGGCATAAAGAAAATATTTTGGACAGTGTTCAAAAATTTCTAGAGGAAAATCCAAGACCTAATCCATTCGTGAATAATAGGCCTGACATTGGATAGTGGAAAATATTTTTAAAGAGACATCCTAGATTAAGTATACGGAGTTTTGAAGGTGTTCGAACAAAATCAAGCTCATGTGTATCTGAAAAAGATTTAGGTTCCATGAAATATGTTGCTATGTCGATGAAAAAGTAATAAGCCAAGTCTTCAATACAGATGAGACAAATTTCATAAAATCATATTTGTCAGTGTGCAGGACTAGTTGTAGCTGAAAACGGTTCTAGAAACGTTTATAATATTGAACATTCAAATGGAAAATAATCAATAATCATTTTATTTACTTTCTCGGCTGCTGGTATTATTTGTAGTCTATTTATTCCCCAAATCTTTTATTAGTGTAGTAAGTCTACAAATACAAAAAGATTTAGATATTCTTTAGTTTTTGTGTCATTTTTACTATAAAGTAGATGATTCTTATTCTGCTAAAGACACTGATTTTGATTGTTTAGAAATGTATACTAACGTACAAAAAGCTATAAAAGATCTCAAATATTAAATAAGGTCTTTAAAACTTGAGACATTGTTTTGCTTTAACGATTAATGTTTGTCAACATTCCTAAACAATAAGAATTAATGTTTACATGGTATATTTTTAACTAGATTTAGTAACTATAGCAGTTAATACTATGTGGGCAATAACTATGTGATGCGTGAGGCAATGACTATCTGGTCCGGGCAATCGCTATACTTTTAGAGGTTATTTTTGTTAAACCTTGTAATTATTAGTTTTCTTAAGATATTTAAATTGTTACTACTGGATCTCTTAGCTAAACTATTAATGTTACCAAAGAGGTGACACTCACATACCTATTATTTTAATAAACATTTATATACATATAAAACCAGTAGAATTTTCTTAAATGGGCAATCACTATACTGTTTACCCTATATTTATATATAATTTCTATAATGTCGTAATCTAAAGATTATCTTCAAAATCTAGTGATAACCTTGCAACCTTTGTCGCTGAATGCCTTTTTGACATATAAAGGTCACTCCGTCCCAACCCTCCGAATTGCTGCTGCTAAATATCAGCGAAGGGTAGCTACCATTTATAAAGAGCAAAACTTATGCCAAGAGCTAGCTACAGTTAAGAGATTAGATATAAGGTCAATAAATTATATTAAAATATTCAAAATGAAGATTTTTTAAGTAACTTAAATGCCAACAGTACATGTACGTGCATTAGTTTTTTATATGTAGGTATTGGTCCAATTATTAGTCAATGGAAACCTATATAAATTAATAATATCGAATCACATCATCATGTAACATCTATGGTAACCCTTACAAAACAAAATACTTTGCCATTGGGAACTGTAAGTAATGTGAACTAATTACCTCATTGCTAGCAATGCACCATTTCAGATGGACATCATGGTGGTTTCCCTTAAAAACCATCATGATAAATTTCTGGTGAATTCGCCAAGATGATTCAATTAGCCTAACTTCACACTCAACTCATCATCCACTGTTAGGTACCCCACCCGGTAGCGTAGGCGGGTGCGTCATTCTATTATTATCCATTAAAAAAAATAGGTTATCATTCCGGAGAACTACGAAATGTTATCTCCATATTCTTTAATTTTGCTGCTATATTCAAACGAAAGATAGCCTAAGAAGCGAACAACTTAGCGATTATATAGGTAAAGTAGAGGGACAAAGATGGCTTTGTGAAATGTGTACCTTGGTATAAATAATATGTTTGCTCATATTCTCATGACCGTAATAATAGGGTCCGTACAGTTGACGGCTTCGAAGGGTCTAGCGGTTTAGCACACTGCTTCACTTCCGATGGTCGGGGGTCTAATTCTTCGCACGATACAAAGATTTTTATTCAAGATTATGATTAATCGTATTAGTCTGTCATCTTTTAGTTGTCTAAAACTTGTACAAATTATCCTAGGTATTATATAAATATAAGAATCAATTCTGCGGATTATTCTGTTTATTTAATTGAGTATCATCCTGCATTAGATTTGGTTGCACACTCCGTGGATATATATATAAACAAGAATCATTCTTCCTTATAAATAGTCAATATAATACTCAGTACAGTTAAATGCGCAGTTTACGGGTTATAGCCGATCAAGGTTTGAATTATTTTTGGATTAAAACACGCACAAACAATCTTTGCATACTGATTTTAGCCTACGATAATTGCTAAACATCTTTGACTTTGCAATTTCTAGTGAATGTTATGGAACTTTATAATTAGAACGAACAGATACGTTCTCCAGTTCTAATAAGTTGATGTAACATCATCATCATTGCTTTATCTTTATCCCATTGGGGTCGGCGCAGTATTTCCTATTCTTCATTTCAAGCTGATAAAGCATATGAAAGAAAAATATAGTAATAATACTGGATCACGACTACTACTCTAGATGGGATAGTCAGAGGAATTATTAATTCAAGACTATATATACATACACTGCAACGTCGACAACTTTGCGGTCAATGCAACACTTGACATGCTCATATTTATCTGTATATATTGGAGTTGAATATGATCCAGGAGGACGATCCTATCATCTGTCGGATTAATTTTTAGTTTGTTATCGGAGGCTCAGTCAGAAATATACTATATATTTTTTGTATGGATCATATTTATTTTTCGTAAAGAACACATAAAATAGTTATGCAATATCTAAAAGAAAATTTACAGAAATGTATTATAGTTAATATGCCTATTCTTTTATATCTTTAATGAGATTATACCGTATTTAGGTATATTAACCCTATCATCCCTTGAACTATGTATATTTCTAAATATACTTCAAAGTTTTACCGTCTAGCTACCTTTCCTGCGGATAGAAAGGATTTAATGGGCGTATAAAGTTAGAAAGATGTACAAAAATATCTGATTTAGGCACAGCCAATATGATTTGGATTAGCTCAATATTTAATCTATTCAGTCAAAAAGGTCGCATGAATACGCCTTTTTCCTCTAAATTAACAATACACTCTAACGATATACAAAAATACTTCTAACATCTCTGAAATACATCTTTCAATGTATCATTCACATCACATTTGACAAGATTTAAATATAATGTATAATTTATTCCTTTTATAATATTGGCCTCGTTGGTCTAGTGGTTTAGCACACCTTACTTCCAATGGTCTCGGGTTCAATTCTCGCACGACACAGATATTTGTATTCATGAGTATGACTGTTTGTATCGGTCTGGGTATTTTCAATGTATAATATAAATATGTATTTACGAAAAATATCATATATGTATCAGGTATCTAGTACCCATAACACAAGCTTAACTTGGGTCTAGATGGCGTCGAGTGAATTGTCCTGATATTATTATTATTATTATTATTGTAATAAGTAGTGTTGTATTGAAACTATACAGTACTAAAGTACAAACCTGCTACGAGCAGCCAGCACGGCTTTCACCGCACACACGGGCTCTCTGGTATCTCCTACGAGGAACGTGACGTCACACAACTCCGGCATCGAGGCGAGGAACTTCATGTCCTCAGCCAGGCCTGACTTGTTCTCGAAGGTGCTGAGGTCGGGCTCCGCCTCCATCGCCGCTAACGCCCCGCTTCTCATTGACGACTGTAAAAAGTATTAGTGACTGTAGATGTTATGACTATTTTTTCTAATTACAACATTATTCCACACAAAATCATAATTCCGTCTTTCCGAATTTCTGCCGCAAAAACAGCTTCATATGCTGCTTTTCACCGAGGTAGACTTTATAAAAAGTTATCTGTATGGGTACCTTTACATATTTCAGTCACTAAGCAGTTTATGTTTAAGCTAGGACTTTCGGTTGAGATAAGGCAGTGAACAGAATAAGCATGATATCTAAGTCCTCTAAAATGGCAACGCAGGACTGATATCCCAGGCGATATGTGGTAATATGATGTCCGTAATTCTGTTCATGACACAGGCGATGATTACCACTTACCATAATATAGACTCAGAGCTTCTTTCCCATTACATAAAAAATAGTATTATCCCTAGTCGTTTGGTGCCAATATATTGGTGCTATCAAATGGTTATAAAATGAATATGTAAAATAAGCAGTGGCTAAGATATAAAGGTTATAGGATATAAAGGGTCATATAAGTAGTGTCTCGATAAAGATTAAGGTATATTAATCTTTATCGAGACAATATATGTTATACAATATATTAAGACAATATATATATGTTGAGTCGTTTAATTGTGAAAAGGTAACAGACATACTTTCGTATTTGTAATATTTTAGCCATATACTATGTCCATCCATATTAAGCAATAAAGTTTAATATCCCACTTTATTATGCTTAGTCTATAAATGCTGTAATAATATAATATAAACGATTTGTATATAAATGTAAGGAACCCTAATATTCTCACCTCAGAATACTACCTACGCCTTTATATGTCTGCGACTACGGATTTATGGGCCAATAAAAAAAGGATTTTAACCGTTATTGTCCATCGATAAAACGTAAAGGGCATGAAAGTAATACCACTTCAGAAAATGTCGCAACCTAATTATTATTTTACCACTAGTAGATTTTTACTTCGTTGTTTTTGTAATATTTAAGTAACTAACCATAAATCAATATTTATTTTAATATAAACATATTACACAACGTCATCCAGTCGTAAACTAAACACAGACATAGATAACAGACATTGTACTTTGGGTACTAGCCGCCTGATAAAAATTCCTCATATTTTTTTTAATAAAAAAAATAACTTAAGTATTTTCAAATAGTGTACTTGAAAATACTCTGAATGACAATATTTAGGAATACAAATATTCTGTATTGTATGGGGCTGTGATCTGAAACAGTGTGTCTACACTATTATTTATTTTAAAGTACCTACTCTATTTTATTTAATAATTAATAGTAGTGATTCGCTGCGATTTTATCCGGGTGCTTATTACTTTGTTCGTTTTATATATATATATAAGAATAATGTAATGTAATGCAATGCTGCTGATATCAGAATAATATATATAGGTTTTTGTCCGTGCAAAAAATCTAGAATCAATAGTATGGTTCCAGAGTTTACTTTCTTTATAACAAAATCCGCTATCTCTCTTTATAATATTAGTATAGATAAGTCTATAATAAAGCTGAACTATTCAAAAGTAGCTTATGTAAATATTTGATCACCTAATGGAATCGAAAAACTTTTCCATTCATTTCGGCTGAATGGAGTAACTTTATCGTCACCGTCTTCCTACCCTTTATCAATATATATAGTACTTGGAGACGCCGTAATAAATTTTTCTCATCCATTCATCTCAATTTGCAATCATATCAGTATTCACTCCGACGCTGGATATTTGTTTTTTTTTTCATATAACTGGGATGGCGTACGTTTTGTCAGCTAATAAGCATCATCTATATACAGGTATCTATGTACTTTTGCTTTTGGTTCTATAACTACGTGTTACGGTAGTTACGGCGGTATCGAGTATTATACTTTTTTTTTTGTTCATTGACTGATATAGAATCTAGATTTTCTATCAGTCAAACTTTGGGTACAACGTCTTAGTATTTAGTGTTTAATTTTAGTGGTCATATATTGGCGCTACTAAAATATATATACCTCGTTAAAAGTGAAAGAATTGTCGAAATAAATATTTGTATCTAGTTGCTTGGTTTTCGTAGTAATAATACTGAAAAACATTCCATAAAATTCGCTCGCAATCGGTGAATACTATTAGTTAATAAACAGAATAATATAGGTATTTTAAGAAATATCACTTATACTGTAGTCGGTTAAAGTTGTAACACTGAAGGTACACATCTACTGCGAGTATTTATTGATATTGCCTCTGTGTAAACACCTACACAATACCTATCCATCGTAACGTAAGTAAGTACAGAGTAGGTGATCAGATTTCACTCAATTATATTGTGAAAATATTTTCTTACGTCACATACAGTATTAAAATCTCGTAATAAAATAACTAATTCGTAATATATAACGTACCGTAGAGTAGTACGATGGCAACTGACATTTAATTAAATTCCACTGCTTAATATCTGTGTGTATCTTTTTTAATCACAATGTTATAGGTATTGATTAATGGAATACCTACGTACGGGTATATACCGGCTCTAAAATAAGTTCTTTTTTCAAATTTAGGACTATATGCACTTGTCTGCGCTAACAGTATACGGTGGTAGGTTCCAGTTGAGGATGATGGCTTAAGTAAAAGTTAGATCAATTAGCTTGTAGATGATTATCGGTTGAGATCACATTCAATCTAGCATAGTACAGTAATAGCAATACCATTATTTCGTATTTCCAACAATCCCCTTCCCCCACCATATATAAAGTGCGAAACAGTAAATTAAATTATTTTTTATATCCAGCATAATATAATTTTATATTCTTTAGGAATACAAATATTTTGCATTGTATGGGACTGTGATCTGAAACAGTGTGTCTACACTACTCTATTTGCACTACCAAGGTCTTCAGAATAATTAACGACTAATCTAAATATATTACAATTTATTTTAAAGTACTCTATTTTATTTAATAACTAGCTACACGCCCCGGCTTCGCACGGGTACACATGTATAATATATATATGTATAATAAACCTTCCTCTTGAATAGCTCTATCTATTATAAAAACCGCTACAAAATCCGTTGCGTATGTTTAAAGATTTAAGCATACATAAGGGACAGACAGCGACAGCGACAGCGACTTTTTTTATACTATGAAATAATAATAATGATAGGTTGTGTATATTACAGAGATAAATATTAGGTATTATAAGTTTTCACTTAGTTATTCTAGTCCCTTCAGGGACTTATTATATATTCTTCTAACTATCTGAAATGTTATCTATTAATTGCGAGAATTTTATCGCTGCGTTACAATCTCTAAGCTTTTTTGTACGTGCACTCTGCTAACAATGCTAATCTAACAAACTCTAGAGAAATATTCTCCTGATAGAAAAGAGAAATGGTACCAGTATGGCATTTATAATATTTTAAATTATTATTACTTACATAAATTGAAATTTAAAAATTGTTTATTCATGGATATTTTAGTCAATTATATGAGTCAGTTTTTAAAAATATTTCTCTATCTTCCAATTCAGTTTATAGATTAAATTGAGAAGATAAAAGGTTAAATAGATACATATCTATAATAGAATATACTTAACTATTGTTTTTGATTTGTAATTCATAACAATTAGAATATACATACATATAGATATATTTTATGGTTATATGACGAATTTCTATCGGACAGAAAAACATTAGTTTACGGGCATTGCAGTAATTTACTTTTTAGCGTACGGTATAATTGTCAGTACAGTATAATTGTCGCCAGTATATTGCTAATTTCTGCGGTCGGCCATTTAATTAATATTTTCTTTACATTAACTTCAAACCACATTTCAGAATGGACTCCCATTACAGTTGATAATTAAAATATACCACAGAGTATATGAAAATAGATAGAGTTTGATAGAGGCAATAAATTTATTTACTTTTTAATGTGCAATTATAGAAAAAGTATAAGCTATGGTTTATTTTTCAACCCTAAAAAAGGTAAATCGAATGAATTGCTTTAAATGTAATTCAAATATGCAATTATTTTGTAAATTCAAACCACTTTGATGACATTTTTCTATCGATGAGTTGATATTGTTCTAGTTTTTCTTATATAAAGTATTTTAATTAATAAAACTTAATCGTCTTTTAGAAAGTATATGTACCTACTTTGTATATAATAAACAAATAATTAATTAAGCTTTTTAATTTAATACACAAGCATATTGATAATAAACTAAGTATAATTAAAGATACCAGAATTTGATAGAGAATACTCACTTCATCAAGACTATAGTGTCTAGTTATTGTGATATCCATATTTATAGAATTTAATATATATTACAAGTTACAAACTAATGACTACGATAAATATTCACATAAACCACTAGATAACTTTCAAAGCAACCGCTTTCGATGGCGCTTTCCCGACGACTAAGAGTAAAGAGGAAATTGAACTGACGCGTGACTTCACGCAAAATGAATTCTTGTGGTCCAAGTGAAGTGAGCTTTCAATAGCAATGAAAAATATTAATTAAAATAAACATACATTGTTATTATTATTTTCGTTTTGTGTCGCCGATTACACACATCAAGAATAATAAGCAATAATAACAGGTTAGTCAGATAGTATATTAAAAAAAATAAGAACAAAAAAATTACACATTGAGTTTTTTGCCAGTTTTTCTCAACTGAAGTAATTAATATAACTGATATAATGTTTTACTTCAGTTGAGAAAAACTGGCAAAAAACTCATCGTATAATTTTTTTGTTCTTATTATTTTTTTTTTTGTTGTAACGTGATAGTGATAAACATAGATAAGAAGGCCGCAAATGTGCTTCATGAATAAATTTTTGATTTTCTGGAAATTGGTCATTTTCTGATAAATTAACCAGGATGAGCTAACTGCCTTGATTTCAGGTTCATTGTCCTACTAGCGCATACAGTTAACGCAGGATAATGAAATTGTGCCCCTTTCTATAATAACAAATAAATAAAAAATAATTGTATGAATTAATAAATGTGTGGATTATTAATAGCTATTACACGCGTTTCGCTCCTAAATTGATTCGGTATAGTGAAAAGCGGAGCTGCATATAAATTCTATAACTAGGTTTATGACGAGAATTGTGTTATTGTAGGCTAAAGGACTTTCAGAAAAAGGAATGGAAAAGTCACTTTACGAATGGAGTTAGATACGTTTACCAAAAATTATGGAATATTTTGGAATATATGAATATTAAAAACGTTTTAACGTGCTTAATAGAGTTATAATATCAGAAATATATAGGAATAATACTTTTAATAAGAGTTTTTAAGTTTAATATTTATAACGTTTTTTTGGCGCCGGGTAGTTTAGTTTGATATCGTAACATTGGAATTATGTTCATTTATTTTTGTAAATGAAGATTTAAACTAGAAATATGGCATATGGCAGCGTGTATAAAAAAGGAATTTTTAGAAAACAATAATATGTTTTCTAAAAATTCCTTTTTTATATCCACCTGAATAATAATAACACTTATAAAATGCAGTAATTTATATAATAAAAGAAATTCATGTCTATTAACTCGTTCACTGTCTTTTACTGAATAATTTATAGTTTATATGTACGCCCTATAATTTACGAACTATAATTTATATAATAAATCCTATAATGATTAGTTAAATCTCGTTTCGTCTATTTTCGAATGGTATTAGATAAGTAAAAAGTAATTAAATTAAAGTAACAAATACGAATTAGGATTTTTATATTAACGTAAAAATAAAAATTTACATAATAATTGTCACGCGTTCTAAAGTTAAATTCATTGTTGCTTGAAAATCTTGTATAAACTTCCATTACCTACCAATATGTAGGCCACTGGCAGCGACCCGTAAGCGTTTGCAACACACCCAATCAGCGAATATCGATTTTGTCTTAATAATGTTTTTTATTATAAATTATCCAATATTATAATACCACAGTAACAGTAATTACCCATAATGATATTTTTCTCAGTATTAAACTGCAAATAAAGGTCAATGTAGGTTGCTCGACATGAATCAGATGAGATGAGATAATTTTCGTTACATAAAATGGAAAACATTTTAAAATGTAATACCAGTAAAAGAGAGTATATTTGTAAAAAAACAAATGAAAACGTTTGTACGAATAAATTATTAAGTGACACCTAGTCTACGACAAGCCAGATGTTTCACCCACGCAGTTTGTCTTGAGTAACGCCCACTTCAATTGTACATCTATATATTCGTTATCAGTCAGATATGAACAAACGTACAGCTATGAGTTCACTTACCTGTTGATATGTTCCTTTTGCACTACAATAAAATAACTAATGCTCAATTAAATGAGCATTATATATTAGCACAATGAAAACTGAATATCGCCAAAAGCACGACTATTAATAAGAAAAAGTGATCGAGACCATCTACATAACAAAATGTAAATGAAACGCTAAAACTAAAACTAATCGCTAAATTAAGTTTTACACGGTTATAAGACCATAGCAAAGTAATTTAAGCTTATTATTGAAGCTTGACAGATTTTATATCTCGAAACAACACAATCTAAACAACAGAAAGCTCAGGAGATACGCATGTGCAAAATCTAGGGCGCATGCTTGAGTTTGACATCAATATGACACCGTCTCGACAGAAGGTCGCTATTCAATGGACGAAGGTGAAACATGAATGAAGCTAGACAATGTAAAGGCTATATTTTCAATTGTCATTGTATATCGATATACAGATACATAACAATTATGTGATGATTCTGGTTCAGTGACGTGACTGCGATTACCACGTTATATCATAAAGTACATATATAACTAAGTTCGTGTATCATATATATTTGCTTGATATTCTAATTTTCTTCTTTTTTTGTTTATAATTTCCTATACATACTTATGCGTACAATAATACATAATTATTTATGTTAGTGTAGATTATTGTTTTTTTATTCGATACTACAATAATCACTATCGGTCATTTATTTATTTATAATTATATAATCATTATAATACTAATTCAATTTACTATTTTTGTAAATTACAACATTGAAAAGTACTAAAATAAAAATCATCATCATCGGATTGCTTGCCATAGGCATCTATTTTAAGCTTATAATTTTTATTAAAATTAAACTTAATGTTACTGTAGTCAATGCCAATATCAGAGCAATTACTGCTTTTACATAATTTGTAGAAACAAGGATAAAAAATATTAAGACATATAAAAACTATACATTTCACTATTTATGAGTAATTTGAGACATCTAGATACGAATGACAACACTATATAGGTGTATTGGTTTTGATAAGAACTGAAAATATTATCTGCTATCAATGCTGATACCTGCTAGTAAGTATGTTAGCTGGGCGGGCAGAATTACTACGATGAGTTACTAAGTGAGTATCCTAGATGGCGGTGTTCGTGAATGTCTCATGTTTTATACTTCTTACGTACTCTGTACAAATAGTAGACTAAATTAATATACTATTTGTGTAGTGTATTATGTATATAATAAAAATATAATATATAGTAGATTCAAAGTATTTTTATAAAGACTTCTTAAACAATTTTTAAAAATAATTTGTGTATGTGTAATATTTGTGAGAATTGTATATATGTTTATATAATGTCTATGTATATGTATGTATATATCCGTTATTTATGTTTATTATTGTATATTTTATTATAACGATAATAGAATAAGAACATTATTTAAAATATTGAATTTTAAAGGTTTTTTTTCTCAAACTTGGACATTCAACATTATATTATTGTTAATTGCACATGTGTTACGCAATCATTAATAGTTACCCTCACTGTTAGGTTGACTGGTAGAGATCTCTTTTAGAGATAAGTCCACCTTTGCTCACTCTCTATATATTTAAGTTTACTGCTGCATTTATATTTGCAATAAAGACTATAATATATATAAACCAGCACGTACATAGATCAGTGTCTTAACCGTACGTACGGTTCATTACATAACTAATCGTATTGGATTCTGCACTGATGCTTCTAATTAATAGTGATACACGGCACACCCTGTTGGCTCGGCTAGGATATCTGTAAGAATGAAGTAAATCAATAATATAAAAACATTTGCTCCAGATTTTGGAATTTAGATTTTTTAAACTTCAGTTAAGTTTTTATACACTGCAGCTACATAATATTGTAGACTTTCAATCTACAAATGTTTCATCAAATGTATATGCCAGTAGATGTAACATATTTGCTTTCAAGTGTTTCATGAATAATATATATAATCAAATTCAAATGCGTTTTTATTTACGGATGACTAAAAGCGTGTCTCAATTTAGCACAGATAACACAATATTACATATTGGTTAAAGCAATAATATTACTAATCTAGTATTTAGTATACTTATTTTCTTTTTATTAAAATAAGTATACTCAATATTTTGTTTTTAGGGTACTATATAAATAATATTTAGGTGTACTAAGCATTGAATATTTTTTTTATCTTGGGGAAACTCTTCAATTAAATAAATCATGCCCTAACTTGCCAATACTATTAGGTCATTAGGCATATATAGGTTTCATACAAACTAACCAAATTCCTGACTCAGATTAGTATTACAATATATACTGTAATATTAAGCAAAAGAAAATTAATAATACTCTTCCAATATAATTTTCAATTCCATATCATTCTAACTCTCAATCATTTTAAGATAAATGCGTGCCAGATGTATTAATCCTCTTTGCAGGCTCCAAGATCCGGGTATACTTCAATGTCTCACCGTCGATGTGACGTGACCCCATTTCACGGTTAATTGCTTCTGATAGTATTTTTTTGTATCTACTTTCTTTTTTAAATCGATATTCAATATTTATGTCTTTTCTTTGTCCAATTTATGATAGCTAGATAGTATATACTAATAAATTTTGTGTAATTGCTTTTACATATAATTTTAGTATGAAATCATATCTTTTATAAAAAAACATACCGTCATGACTGTTATCCCGTAAGGGGTAGTATTATCGACCTATCATGATGCAACGCAACGCTTGGCATTTACAAATCCCACGTATCAGGGGAGCAAACCTACAGACTAATCTTGAATTAATTTATGGTTTGTTTTTCTCACATGAAACAACGATATCAAAGTTAACAAAGAGGAATATATACTTACAAAGTTTTATTTATTTATACATATAAATAAACAAATTAAAGTTCTTTTTTTGTGTATCTGACAGAATTGAACTCACGACCTCTTCGGCGTAATTCAGGATAAGATGCAACAATGCTCTCTTAAATCTATATATAATCTACATAACCTATTTCTACTACTAGGCTGCTTAAAATGCAAGTTACGTACCAGAAGCA